GGAACCCTGTGTATACAGAGTAAGCTGTGGGGAACCCTGTGTACACAGAGTAAGCTGTGGAAAAACCCTGTGTATACAGAGTAAGCTGCAGGGAACCCCGTGTACACAGAATTAGCTGCAGGGAACCCTGTGTGCACAGAGTAAGCTGTGAGGAACCCTGTATACAAAGAATAAGCTGTGCAAAATTCCACTTCTCTGTGGCTTCGTCCTAGTGACCTAGACTAGCAGTTAAGGCTCTGTAGCTCTTTGGATGTCTTTCTACTTAGATACACAGTTTCATCCCTGGTCATACTTGTTGGTTTTGAGTTAGCTACAAATTAACTGGTTTCATCTATTATTAATGCATTGCATTTTCTAAACTACAAGAGCTTTATATTAGAGAAAATAAAAGTTAAAATTCTACATCTCAGCCTAAGTCATGGTGGTGTTCAGTCAAAAGAACTATTTATGGAAGTTTTTACCTGCATTAGGTTTGGGCTCAGGTCACACTCACCTGCAGCAGCCTTGTTCTCTGTACACTCTCTCAGCTTCTGCAAATGAAGTAACAGATACCCATACTGGGACTTGAGACTGTAATCTTTACTATCAAAAGAAGTCTACCGAGTACACTTAGCCATTAGGGACTACAGGTGGGCCATACCATGTGACAGGCACACATTAACTAAAGGCCGACTCCTTTCCCTTCTTTTTCCACCGAGAAATCAGAGGCAATCTGACTACACCCACATGTTATGGGCTACTCGTTATCAACTACATGCCATAGGACTTCCCAGGTCCCAGAAGGGCCCCCTACAATGCCTCGGAGTCCTCACTGTGCTGTATCTCCCTGACACTTACAACTCCCCTAATCCCTTACCCCATTGCCCCCTTGAGTCCTGAATACCCAGACTTTTCAGGTTTGTATCTATCGATTTGTAGACTTAGGAAGGAAACTGCTAATTCTTTTTAGTCATGTGGCATTGTGATGATCACAGTAAGAACAACACCGGGACTGATCGCAGCACATGACTTACACCCCTTCTCAAGAGTAGCTGCATATGAAATGGTTTTAGGGTGCTGCCTGGAGGCTCAACTGAAAGTTTAGGGTATCTGTACAGTCACCTTGGATTTTAGCCTGCAGTTTACACAACCTAGTCAATCATGCAAGGTATCCCTGACCTTCAAGCTTGAGGCCAATCTAGACGCCATAGTAAGATCCTAGCTCAGAAACCAAACAAAAAGGCCTGGAGCTGAGCCCAAGCTCCAGACTCACATGGTAGGAGACAACCAATGATGGGTTCTGACCTCCACATATATACTTATACACATACTCCCCCAACACACATTCACACAAATAAATGTAATAAAAATATGTTGCCTTTTTAAAGACAGAGTCTCACTGTGTAGCCCTTACTGGCCAGAAACTCACTCTGTAGACCAGAATACCTAGAACTCAAGAGATCCTCTTGCCTCTGCCTTGTGAGTGCTGGGTTTAAAGGCGTGTGCCATCATGCCCCGTGGAAAGTCTTTTTAAAAAGTTACAAAATTCCATTGTTTAATCCACCCCAAAGGAAACTATCTCGTACAGAAAAAGGAGCTAGCTGCCACTCAGTTCAGCTGACCTTAAGAACAAACTCTCACCAATTATTTTGCCCAGATCATGAAATAATTTCCTACAGGCTCTTCCTCAGATCTCAGCATTCATGGTGCAGTAGTTGGAGCAGGCAGATGGGGCATCTTAAAAGGGAGGATGGCCTGAAGTGTCTGAAAGTTGGCTCAGGGTGCTTGCTTGCCACTCTACACCGTCACACTTTGGTTATTCCAACCTTTGGAAGGCGGAGTGTCTGGATGATTCCAGTCTTTGTGGGTGATGATGTCATCGGTCTCTTGATGACGAAAGAATCGGGTGGTTATGATCCTAACAATTCACATGCTGGAGTTTATTTTTCATAGCCAGAAGACTCGATTTTGACCATTTTTATTTAAATGTATTTGTTTGAGAATTTCATACGTGACTATTGTATTTACGTTGTTCTACCCTCTACTGCCTTCTGTCTCCCTCCACACTCCTTCTCAAATTTACCTCTTCTATAAATAAATTAAACATATACATTTACATACATCTGTAAAATCTACTGAGTCTGCTTAGCATTGCTTGTGTATACATGTGTTTATACACATATTGGG